AATATATTCAAGACATGTTTTATGGTGGCCAGATAATATACATATTACATATAATATAATACAACATAAAAAAATGCATCCCCGTCCACCTGTGTACAGCATAACTAAAACGATCCTGAACGGAGATGATTTGTCAGTCTAGGATAATAATATATTATTATTTAAATATTTTATTTTTCAATTAAGACGCATTTTGCATAAGACATGGTTAATCAATTTTTCCAAAAACATTGCATGTAGTTATATTTCATAATACCTTATATTATCATAGATATACACATACCTGGGTTGAGGATAAATCGTTATCATTACGCGATTTCATACAAATTTAAAACTCARACGCTCAAAACATTTTTTCCTATAATGACGCTTCAAATTTTCTCTATAGCTGTTTGAAGCAAAACTTACGGAAAAAATCTCGTAATGATAACGATTTATCCTTAACCCAGGTATATGTATATCTATGATAATAATATAAGGTATTATGAATTATGATAAMTACATGCAATGTTTTTGGAAAAATTGATTAACCATGTCTTATTGTCTTATGCAAAATGCGTCTTAATTGAAAAATAAAATATTTGTTTCAAAATAGAATATTTAAATAATAATATATTATTATCCTAGACTGACAAATCATCTCCGTTCAGGATCGTTTTTCGTATACAATGATACCTATCATTGCATTCAAATCTAAACTACCTTAGTCAGAGGTCCACCCCACCACCTAATGTACAGCAGAGCGATACCCACTTTCCCGCTTTTTCTCAATTATGATGTACCTATGCCCAACAATTATCAAGCTCGGAACGTAGATACTAACTATATACCTCTCTCATTTAATCTTTTATTTACTACAATAAAAACTTGCATAGTTGTATGTATGAAATGAWACATGTAAATCGTAGGCTATTACTAAAGCTTTCAAAATGTAAATTAAGTCCATGAGAAATCTTAGTCCGCATTCCWTAATTTTTTTTTAATTCAATCTGAAATATAAATCACAAAAATCAATCGTATACATATGTTTACTTATCTAATTAAATCTATTATCTATTAAAAAATCAATAATTTTTTTAAGTATAGAATGGTCCACACTCCGTTTAATATGMCAAATATTGTAAAATGTTATATTCATATAGCAATTCGAACTATTACAAAATCGTTATTAAACATTTACACGTATCATAAACTAGATTAAATTAATAATATTAAACTTCTGATTTGAGCTCTACTAATAATAATGACAAAACTTTGCAGGAGGGATATATTAAAAGTCGCCGTCAGAGCCGGGTYTARGTATATCATCATCTAAATATGTAACCTATTTATTGGGATGATGGACTGCAGTTTGAACATACTATTATTAATGTCGTTTTGTGATTCGTGCGATACTAAATACGTGTGAAACGATGGTCGATAAATTATATCTCGTTTAAAAAATACACCTCCGAATTTTCAGGAAAATGCGGACCATGGCGGTAGTACCCACCGCGGATGATTTAGTACTAACTCGTTCTGACTGTGTGCGGAATAAATCTCCCGTCCCGGATTTCGTGCCCTACAACGCGTGTGTTTTATATATATTATACATATTATATATATATATATTTTTTTACCGCAAACTTATCCATTTTTATAACCTAGGTATACTGTTTGTTCTGTGCATTGTGTGCGCCCAATCGATTCAACGGCGTCAATGCATACGTCTTAGCTATTAAATCAAACGACATATTATATTCTATTACCTACCTACCAAACATAATGCGTTTTTGGACCACAAAAAAATAAAAAAGTAGTAATTGAACGTAAACTCAATATTTTCCTAGCGTGAGGTGTAGTCACATATTGGTGCAATGTAAAAACTAAAATTGTACATCCAATGCCTAGTGTTATCTTCTAATGTATCTATATAATACGATGTCATKACGTACCTAACTCAAAGRTAAATTGATTGGATTTTCGCAAAATAATTTAATTTCCATTATCGTAACGTACGTTATTCGTATAATAGTATGATTAGGTATGATTAATTTTTTTAAATTTTTAAATTATTTTTTTAAATTTATTTATTTGTTATGCATCAACTGCACAGGTTATTATTACTATAGTTATTAGCTTTTTACAAAAATTTTACATTTTATTATACAAACCGATATTATTTAGATATATGATTATATTATGATACCTAGTTGGAAAATGGACCGATTGCTTCGTACAGSCTGTCAGGGATGTCGAAGTRTTTCYTAGCTTCATTGAAGTTTARATAGTGGACGTTTGATAGAGTAGTTTTCATTGCATGTTGGGTATAGAGGTGGATCTGTCTTTGCCATAAGATGTCCATGTGTAAATTTCGTGTGGCCAATTCTGAGTCTATTAAGAATTACCTCATTTTTTCTGTTTAGATCAGTGTACTTCGGCCAGAGATCAACAGAGTGCTTAATTTCACTTAATTTATTTTCCCTGTTTGTGTGCCATTTAGTATTCCATAAATTAATGCAAT